GTCGCGGTATTCTCATATATTCGTCGTTGATCGCACCTCAACCAACATATTCGATGAGAATGACCTGCTGATCGTAAGTCGCTTAGTCTTTTGACTGGCTTCCTATCCTCCTGTTACAACATACCACGCATACAAAATTGGTTATTGCCTACATGCTGGCGAGTTATCATAACAACAAAATTTTTATTCGTCAATGTTAGATAAAATACTTTTTTTGGCACATTTGACCATTTTTTTTAAAAATATTTAACCGTTTGGGCTCTATCGAAAACTCATTCGACCTCGAAAAACTCGGATTACTTTTGTAGCGTTATTTCTGTCAGATGAAATTATGTATCTTTCCTTTTTCTAGCTTGCGGAAAAGCTCACTAATATTGACTTAGAGGGCGAAAGACTTATTCGTGACGATTACAAGTATCTGGAGTGGAGAAACGGTCTATTTAACGAGCGGTCGGCCTCTTTAAATCGTCAAAAGTGAGTTCTGTTTAACTACTGATTGGCACCTGAATTGATTTATTACTAATCACTGGGATTCGATGAGAAGGCTAATTGCTATTTTCACGTTATCGTTTTGGAGATACGGCCGCGCATCGGCAAAATACTTCTATTGTTATTTTCACCCTTTACTGATCTTCGTTTTTTGTATAGATTCTCTTCGGCCACGGTAAAGTTTTCTACTGTCTTCAAGAAGCACCGGTTTCCTTTGGATATGAAGGAAGGCATGTACAGCTTTGATGCCAAGGAACTCCAGTACTATGTTTACAAACGGGTAAGTGCACAATTCACAACTATGTGCATCCCAAATTCTACCCGCGCTACGTTGGACGTATCCGGCGATAAGTTACTATTCTCTTTTAGGAGTTCCTGCCTGTCTGTTATCAGGGGCTGTCTTACATTTGTACCCCTTGACTTAACGCGAAGTGCTTAGCCTACATCTGTTTAATTTACTCTGCCTCCACGTCTTGGAGATAACATTTCATCTTACTCTCTCTGTATCGACTGTGTACTTTGTTTCTAACTCCTCAGAGCGCGAGAATAGTCGTGAATAATAGAGTACTCTGAGACTTCATGAAAATCCCGTTTGTACCATTTTTCATCTGCAGCACCGGCAGCTATCTGTGTGATTATTCTCGTCAGAGGTGACTCATACCGGCCAGAGAGAGCCTTCTGGCGCAAAATGTACCGCACTTTTTTTACTCTCGAGATCCGTAATTTTTCATCTAGCACTCCCTTTTTATCCGATACCCGAGGAAAAACAACAGGCGATTTTACTCGGGAAAGATTCCTTGAATTAGTTCGGAGTATTGATGTACCTAGGCGTAATCTGCACAGTAGCTTACCGGTTTTCGTCGTAGAATCTTTACGAGTGCCTATGCCCTCTATGTCACGAACTGTACCTCTCCACGCGTAACGATCCGCGGCAGTAGATCTGGACAGCTCAACCCATTCCCTTCGCCAACGACGTAGACCGAGTACCGAAGGTCCAAGAACCACCTCCATGTCTTGACGAACTGTGTCGAGCCAGGTTTTGAACTGACCTCCTCTTCGACGCCTCTACTGGGGTAGCGGTGCCGGATCGAGAGCAGTAACACTGAGCTCCTGAGGTGGACGACAAAGAACATGCCCGAACCACCTCAGTCGTCTTTCTTGGATGGCCTGAGTTATCCTTGCGATGTTGTTGCAGCGAGCGCGGACTGTCTCATTTGAGACGAAATCGGTGAACTTCACTCTAAGGATGGTCCTCAAGCAGTGGTGATCAGATACCTCCAGTCTTTGCTCGTCCCCCGCGCGCAAAGCCCAGCATTCACAACCGTAGAGAAGGACAGACCGGACAGATGCACGGTACACGCGAATGTTAGTGGCGATGAAGAGGTCTCGTCGGATCCATAGGCATTCTCAAAGGCCTGAGAAAACCCAGCGGGTAGCATCAATTCGGGAGACGTTGTCGTCCTTACTCCATCCATTAGGCAGCAGCCTCGCCCCGAGATATTTAAAACCGCCTACTTCTTCAAGTTGACAACCATTAATTTCGAGAAGTGCCTTCTCGTGGTAAGGGATGCAGCTTAAAAACACTTTGGTCTTCCCAGTGTCTATGGATAAACCGACCGATCTAGCGGCCTCGTTCACCCGTGACACCATAGACTGCAGATCACCAAAACTTGAAACAAGTAAGGCGATATCATTGGCATAGTCGAGATCAGTTAGTCCGTGTCCGGGTGCAAACTCAACACCGTCACCTTCGTGTAGGGCCCTCCCGAGAATCCAGTCAATAGCGTAGTTGAACAGAATGGGCGACAGGATACAACCTTGTCGAACGCCAGACCGAATACCGAACGGTTGGGAAAGATTGTTGCGGACCAGGACTCTCGCAGTAGTGGAGCGATATGTAAATACGTTTTGCTTGGACTCTTGTGTGGTGCGTCGACGCGGTGTAATAAAATCTCACATTACACTGCTAATTGGCAGCAGGTGACGTAAATCGTGAGATGTGAATCTTCAATCACTTGGAAACCGGCCCAATTGCAAGGACCAGCGCTCCAAATCGCGACCTTCGATTGAAATGAAAGTGCTATTATTTCGGTTGAAAAGAACAATTTTCTTAAGAAAAGCGGAACCGTCAGAGTCGCGAAACTTTCTGTCAAATGCCTAAACCCATTTTGTAGAAGCTTGGATAGCAAGAAAGTAAGCACAGCAACGTTTGAAAATAAAAACTTTTGCCAATAATCCGGCTAAATATCTTCAAGAAACTAGCGTTAAGTGCCATGTGGTAGCTACTCAACTGCCGGATGTTTGATGTTACGCAAATTCGATGTGAATACAGTATCTGGCCAATTTCGTGAAATTTTAATCGAAACTCTTAAATGCATTTTTTTATTAGGAAGTATTACTTTGGTGGAGTTATAACATTGATTATTGCGCAACATAATCCCCGGATGCCGGCGTGACAACGCCTCACTAGACAATGAATCTTTATCTTCGCTTAGATCAGCTGGGGTAGTGTTAAAGTAAAGCAAACGTCTGTCACCGTTTTCATTGCCGATTTTCGCTGTGAACGTTCATTCTTCATGTTTGGATGAGTACAAATAAGACTGAAACAACCACCTGCATTAGACAGAATGTCCTGACACTCGCTACCTCGGTAAATGCTTTCAAGGTATATCTTATTTTGGAGGCCTTGATAAACGTATCACAGAGTCTACCTTTATGGTAAATCGATTGAAAACACTAGAAGTCGTGCAATATTCAGCAATCTTTCAAGGACGGTCTGAAACTCGATGTACTCCAGAACAAGAAAAACCTAAAAACTTGACGGAAGGCAACTTCTCTTAATACACGTTAAATTCTACTTTTAAGATTGCACTTGTCAATTCTATTCAAATTTATTAGTCACTAACCGACCTGTCACCATGTGACCTTATGAAAACTTCTATTCCTGTGTCGTGCCAGTCGGCGAACTCAAGTTAAAACCTGCTAGTTTTAGCCAACTGTAGTTCAGGCAATGCACAAGCATAAAAAATACAGCCAATTCTCGTGAGACCGTTTTGAAATCTATGCTCGAGCTATTGGCTAACCGCCATACCTGACATTACACTAATTCTTAAGAGATATTTAAACATAAGCTTCGTTAAAGAACTATTTTCAGGCATTATTCTACTTGTGCCGTTTGATTTACTTAATTTGTTGCGCGGACAGGCTTTCTGCGCACCTAGGACTTAAGGTTTTTTAGTTGCAGCGGTTTTTGATGTTTTCCGAATTTACGCTTTTCTGACAAAAATTATTACTTCTAAACGACGTAATACTGTTTTTAACACTTTCTTTATTCTTCCAGTTCGTTTAAAGTTGTTCAGTATGAATGTGGAGTTTTGGTTCATTCGTTTGTGCCGGTTTGCGAGTAATTAGCGATGTTTCGTAAATTTCGACAAATTACCAAATTTACTGCATATTGTCCGACCACATCAAAGTCCCACCCACTCAGTGTTTCCTAATTAAAACCACATGTCAGAATTGGGGATAAAGTTTTATGAGGTAAGTTAGATGCTGTAGGAAATTGCCTGAAAGTCAACGTTGGTTTTCATGGATAAAATGACTTGGCTACATTCTGCGCGAACGAAGGGTTTTTTTTCGAAATGCGTAATAAGTAAACTGCTTTGTATGAGCCATGTATATTTCGGTCATGTTTCTCAATTTGCGTCACTTTTGTGTGTATAACTTTGCATTATATGAACAAACTGGAATAAACGACGTGATGGGAAATAAGCAGCAAAACCAAAAACTCCAATGCGATTTACGCAAATCATGCAGAATTGCGCTACTCATCAAGCTGTGGACTGGCTTCAAAACATTTAGCACGAGGATTATCTCAAACGTCCCGTTTAAATGAAATTGGGATTGTCTAGTTTTAGTTTTCATTTCCTTTCCACGGAAGTGTTTTGTATCTTTGCGAATAGCAGAGGAACGTCTTTTCAGTAAAAATACTAGTTGCATTAATGTTAGCGCTTTATTTCGCTCGAGAGAACATGCCCATAGCCACTGAAGACGTTTCAAGGCTTGTGTATACTTGTGGTCGTTTTATAAATTTCGCTCTCGAACTAATGACCGGTACAGTTAAATACTACTCTGGGGATACAGTAAAGCGTTCTGTCTCAATTGATTCAACAATGAAATAACGAATTGATCTGCTTTGCGCAATTTATTACATGGACGACTACATTTGTCCCCACTATCAGCCCCTAAAAACCTTTTGGAAAATTTGGCATTCTTGTCAGGTGAAGACTTCCTTCTGTCCTGAAACGTCTTGGCCTAGATCGGCGGGATTATCAAAAGGTCAATTTTTGCTTTCAAAGAGTTTGAAGTAGTCATCCGCGCCAAAATATTCTGGGTGGAGACTGGAACTTTTTAGCTGTGTGTGCAAGTGCGCCCCTGCCGTTTGCATTGCCATCGAAAAGCAACTCTCACACCATTTGGTTGTAAAAGTAGTTTTTCTTGCTACTTACATTTATTAAATAGCTTGGGCAAGTTGTTTATTAATTTGTATATGAGTTATCGGCGTGGATTAGCGTTTGGAGTTTGGGTAAGTTACCGGTTTATTGGAAGTACGGGTTGTCGGAAAGAGTTAACATTGGGCTGCAGTACCGTCAGCCTTAACCACTGACCTACGTAATCTACTTACCACCACTAAACAGCAAACATTGTGCTTCATGTGGTTTTACTGGTACGTACTTTGGTTGCGCGCCCACCGTCAGCGGAAGTGACGGTTGCTCGTTGCGGACGTAGCCACTGCGACATTCTCACTGGCTCCCTACATAAAGGCCGCTCTGTTCTGTTAGCGTTTTATCCACTGAAAGAATCATCGGTGATTGCTTAGCACTTTTACTGTCCAGGAGTTCTTGGACTGCTTTTTGGTCGCCTTTGTTGTTCCCACCTGCCTAGCCCCCATTTTACCGATGGCCTAACGGTCAATCTGGGCTGTTGTTGCGACAAGTGGATCTGATCAAAGCAAGTGTTGTCATATTTCATGTGACCTTTTGTACGACAAGGCGCGTTGAGGACAGTGGTTTTGGCCAAACAAGGTATGCTTCATCGTTAGACTGCGCATTCCTGGTTAAAGTAAACTGTACTGTACGCAAGCATATCGCCGAATTTCGATGTAAGTGTGATGTCTGTGCGTCCCCGGATGCTTGACCTCCTGCCTACCAAAACAGTTGAGTTTTTTATCGTGGTTCTAACTGTTGGATTATTTCGTTTCTTTTTCTTGCTAACTCCATCAGCTGCCCCCCCCCCTCCCCCATTGCATGAGAAGACATTTCTGCGAGGTGTTATCTGAAATATTCGGCTAAATATACGTCGAAATCTATATACCAGCTTATTCTAGTGGCCAACAGCACTTTCTCCCATCAGCAACAGGGTTCTGAGGTTTTGGTTTTTTTTCTCTGACCGACTGTTAGCAAGAAGCCAGTTAGAGGCTGTCCTTTTACCTTCCCCGCCACTCAGTACATTCTATCAGTACTCGCTTAGTCGATAACTGTAACTGCCAGCAATATTTCTCCTAATTGTTGGGCCAATTTCCCTGTTGTTCTGTTTTTAAAGGATCCTCGATTGAAGTACGCACCCGGCTATGATCCTTCGCACGACAGCCTCACACGGATTATGTTTGATCCCTGGGTGCAGAAGCGAAATTTGGCTTACGACTGGCCCAAGTACTTCCTCACCGCCTACTAGTTTTTACTGCTTCTTGACCCCGGCCCAATGTACACATCCAGTCCCCAAGGCCGTCGGCCCGCACCTACTTGCTGAAGACACCTCCCTGTTTTGGCCGTCTTCGTCGCAAGCTCCCTTTCTGTTTGGCAGGCCAAAAAACTAGCACCTTTTAGAGCATCTTTTAGGCGTATTTCTTAGTGTTACATTTGCCACTTCTACTCCTTTGCCTGTTCGTTTACGGCCCCTTGCCCTAGCGCCCACCTTGGCTTCTTAGTTTTCTTCACTGATCAGCCAATTCAACCGCAATTTTACTGGTGTCAAAACTGCTACGGTTGTTCTTTGGACCTCTTAAATATGTTTGTGGACACCCTGTTTACTGGGTCTTGGCTGCAGTGCGGGCTACAAACTTTCCGCAGGTCTCCATTGGTACACAAACTTGTACCTATAGTCTAGTTCTGTTAGAGGCATGAGGATGAGGAAAAGGGAGGAGAACTTGCCAGCGAGTTATTTTCGTGTTTTGTCGCCGTAACGCGACGTAACAGGACGTGGGTCCAAACATGTGGGGCTCAGCTAGGGGTGAGGCAGCTCGAGGGCTTATAACTTGTATTTGTTGTTCATTCTATTCAATTCTTCAGCCTCCAGCTGTGCCTATTCCTTGGGGATCCACCTCCCGGCGACAAGGGGTTGTAACCGTCGGGAATTTCCATTCAAGTCAGCACTCAGTAAATTCCGTCTCGTTTAATAGCAGAGGCCAAATTGCATTGGTGAGAACGATCGGTGAGCGCCCCCTACCATTGTATATTCCCGATCGAAACTGACGGCGCAACGGGCTCATGGCCCAGTAGTTAGAGGCGTGGACTTCCAACTAACAGGTCGCGAGTTTGAGCCTCGGGTGTTCCACACTTCGAGGTTGGGTATGACTGGCTGACGACGGTTAATAAGCCAGAAATGGCCATTCCAGTCTCCCTTGTCTTGGTCGGTAATACCATTCTGCCTATATGCATTCTGTACATAGTTCAGGCTACTAGGAGTTGGCAATTTGCTTATGTGTCACAACATAGAGTATCTGTCCGTGAGCCCGGGTTGCGATGAATGTTGTGCTTGTGTGTCTGGCACATCGGTTTCAACGCGGAAATGAATGGGTCGAGTCAATAATGTGTCGAGACGTGATTGGCACTCTTGTGAGTTGGGACGGGGACCGCATTATCACGAGGCGCAAAGGGTTAAAATCGTCTGTGGGCACCCCGGTAACTCGGCACAGTTGGTCAAGAAGCGCCCCGTGTGTAACCTAAAGGGCGACTGGCCGTTACCGGCAGGATTGTCGGAGCGGCCGTCGACTGGCACCCAGACGCAGCAAAACGGATCAGTAGGGCGGCCCCTACATTATCGTCGCCGCGGTTCCTCACGCGGACTGAACCGATAAGCGTGAGAGGGTGCTGTTTTGTCAGAGGTCGAATCACGCGTCTAGTGAAAGACCTACGGTCGCACTGTTTGGAGGGGCGTTTCGCCCTCTAGCGTCTGACCCCTCAAATAGGCTGAGTTGCCGTTGCTTAGAGGAAAAGGACCGCATTCACCCGTGGCATGCACTGGGCGGGTCTCGCGTGCCCTTGACCGGCACTGTCCATGCGCGTGACAAGCGGCAGACAGGCTTTACCCCCAGGTCATCCACTGCGCCAATTTTAATCACCTGTCGGTCGATGGACTTGGAAGTATCGCATATTCACAAAACGCATGAGGGTGCGGCCGATGCCTTCGTATCCTTAGTATTAATTCCATGTACGGCCTCCCCACCTTGATCAGGCGCGCTTTGAACCATCGCGATGCCCGGGAATTCGTGGCTGTAAAGGTAACCACCAGACCGGGTGACCAGGTCCTCTTCCCGAACGAGGTTCAGACCGCAATGACCGCCTAGTTTGGTCTTAATGGCCTATCTTACACCCGTAGGGTCTGTGTCTGCATGCGGCATTCTTTAGATGGCGACTTCGCACAGCGTCTGCCTCCGCGTCCGACGTCATTCCCAGTTGGTATTGCTCAAACTTTCACTTGTGTGTAATCGGGAACCAGCAGTAAGGTTGAGTCTACTATTAGTCTCCCTGTCGTATGTCAGGATGTGCTAACGTTCATGGCTTAGCAGCTCTTTAATTGATTAGACGACACAATCCTTCTGCCGACCGGGGATCAAACTGCATTGCCTGCTTAATGTGAAGGCTCCTTCATCTGAAGTTGAGGAGTAATACGCGTTGAAGTTGCCTCAGTCTCGTCAGCAACAATGCCCTCTTCTAATCGTTTTGTTGTTTAACTCTAGGCGTTGGAAGATTGGAGCGGGGTAGGTTCGGCGCAGGTCTTCACCATAAGAAGAATTTGTGTGCAAGTCATCACCACGCCCTATCTGGGGCACTGGTGGTCCCCATCGCTTGCGATAGGCTGCCAGTCCACCAAAATGGTGCTAGTCTCCCTGGTGTCTACTTGAGCAGCTGGTATTTAAATAACTTACAGGACCGTATGTACAGTGACTGACCGATCTCATGAAATGTTGGCTGAAAGTCTGAAATGCGTTTTCGATTAGGAAGGATTATTTAGGCGCGGTTGTACTACTGATAATCCTGCGGCATAATCCTATAACATTTCGGATTCGGCAGAATGTCAGCTTTTGAATACACTGATTTTCAATCTCCTGTATAAACCGTACTTGGTAAAAATGACTACTTAAGTAGCATGCATTTTTCCGATTGGTTTTCGACTGTCTTGCAAATTCAAATATAACTTATAGAAACCATAAACAAAAATATGCCTTCTTTCTGTCGTTTGATAGAGAATCACGTCTTCTTCATATTTTATACTCAAGGAAGGAGTATAATTAGGTTTTAAAAAAAGTTTTCAATTATGAGATTTTTTGAGATCGCGCAATGTCCTTTCACAGCATCGTATCTAGCCGTTTGCCACGGCTCCTCACGAAATGTACAACATAGTCCGCATTCATTGCAAAATTTCATGAACTCTGTGTGATATCCTTTTAAAGGCATAGAAAAATACGCGATTTTCTTTACGCGGAACGCATGCACCTTATAGACAGAAATCACTAAGCGCTAATGCAACGAATGATCAGTCTCCAAATTATTCAACAATTGGAAAACTTTTTTGAAACCTAATTACGTTCCGTCCTTGAGTATAAAATATAAAGAAGACGTGATTCTCTGTCAAACGACTGAAAGAAAGCATATTTTTGTTTATGGTTTCTATAAGTTATCTTTGAATTTGCAAGACTGTCGAAAACCAATCGGAAAAATGCATGCTACTTAAGTAGTCATTTTTACCAAGTACGGTTTATACAGGAGATTGAAAATCAGTGTATTCAAAAGCTGACATTCTGCCGAATCCGAAATGTTATAGTATTATGCCGCAGGATTATCAGTAGTACAACCGCGCCTAAATAATCCTTCCTAATCGAAAACGCATTTCAGACTTTCAGCCAACATTTCATGAGATCGGTCAGTCACTGTATATACCGGAACCGTACACGGGCCCGGCAACAACTTTCATCGTTATCAGTGGTAGCGACGGAAACGTAGGAACCGCTGCACAGTTTCCGGTTGGATAAAGAGAGCTAGAAAGGTTTTTCTGAATTCCCCTCCCTTAACGGGGCATTTCTAAAGAGCTCACTGGAGGTCGAATGGATAGTCACTTGCCACATCTATGCATGCCTTTCGACTCGCCTGGTGTCCTGTCAGCATTTACCAGACGTTTTAGTTTGTGCATCACCTGAGGCAGAAATTCCCTCCCAATAATTGGCCATAACAACTGGTATTGCTGACATTTTTTCTTTTCAATGAGTCGTGTGGATAACCGCAAATGTTAAAGAAATTTCGGCAGATTCATTAGTGGAAATAATTACAGGGACTGTTTGCTGAACTTCCACTTTGTGGTGAGTTCCCAACTCGTTAAACGTAGGCAAAATGCCCTCCTAAAAAGAGAGGTACTGTCGCATGATGACCTTCAAACGTAAGTATTTGCAGCCACCTGAAATCATAGCTTTCGTTCACATTAAATGCCTGTGTTCGTTAAGTTTTACGGAAAGAGGAGAAAAACTAGTTCGCCTTTAAAGTCAGTTCATAGGGAACCAAGTCTTAAGACCAGTCATTTGAAAGAATGAGATATCCTGGCCTGAAATACAAAATGATTTTAATTTAAGTCGTTCGTCAGTATGGACAGGACTTGTATGTTTTCGGCGGAAGCACATATATCGGATAGTTAAAAAACCCTTGACACATGCAGAAAGTTACATCATGTAACAGGAGATATGAGCCACTATTAAAGCGAAATCACATCATCTTCGAACTCAAGCTTCCAAGAATCTCATGCCATAAAAACGCCTGTACGAACAAAACGTCCTCAGTCATTTCTGGCCGGTCTCCATTATCTTTGTTGGTACTCCGCCCGAACGATTATTTGTCGGCATACGACTGCCTGAGAGGGCTCTGGATTCAGGCACAAGGTGCAAGTGAATGAGAATGCCTGGTAACTGATCGGTGGACACTCTTCCGCCATAGGAAGCTGTAATTAGTGGTTGTGTAATTCGGTAGGAACTCAATCATTTAAGTATTGGGACCGCCTGTAATTCCACTGCCCTGTTCGATTGCTGAATTTTGTAACCCGGAAACGTCAGGGAAACCAAATTCACGCTCCGACGATCGAGTTTTCTTTTCGTTAACTGTTTCCTGGAACTTGCCTTTAGCTTGCACCAGTCGACCCACTGTGAACAACTGACCGAAGTCCGTAAACACCGAAAAGTAGTACTGAGAATACGGCTGTTTCCGGCTTACTGGGTTGTAATCGGCCGGAAATGCCCAGACTGCAAAATTGAGAAACCTGGTATTTGAGTAAGTCAGGCTAATAAAGTTTTTCGTCCCAGCGATCGTGTCTCCTTCTTTGCGACTACCACCTAGAACTCGGCTTTTCTCTTATATTAGCAAAAGTTCTATGTCATCTATCGCCTGGACCACACGATCGAATCTGAGGGCTGT